GGGGTGTGAGCAGCCCGCGGAGGCCCTGGCGCTGTGGGTGCTTGGCACCTGACTCAGGAGCACCCGCAGCACGGAGCCAAGCTGCCACCGGTCTGGTGATGTGGTGACCCCCTCCCCCCCGACAACCTTGTTATGTATTGGGTGGGGCAAACAAAAATGTAGGTGCTGCTAAAATTCCTCTATAGCACACTGATTGTTTTCCAGCCATCCTCTTAACAGTTAATCCTAAATATTCAGTGATCCAAATGTCTTTTCTTTGTCTGTCTGTCATGCTGAGAACAACTCTGGGGAAAACAGGCTGCCTTGCTGCCCTATAGAAATTGAAGGGTAGATGTCTCTTTAAAAAATAAAAGTAAAATGGTTAGTTCAGAAATTACAGAGACTGTAGGAGGCATCCTCAGTAAAACAATAGGAGTAGTCTGGATTTTATTTTAGATTCTTCTTCCCCCCCACCCCATTTTCATTTCAACCACTAATTACAAAGTGCAAGCTGGAGGCTCAGCAGTGGTGGAGCAAGGAAGGAGGAGACGTGCGTGCTGGGTGCGGAGAAAACAATTTCACCAACTGCTTATTTCAAACAGAGAGATCAAATGAGGTTCCAGGTGACGGGTCCCTACTACCATCACGAGAGCTGTAACGCAGTGTTGTCGCCATCGGCAAAGTTTGTACATGCAGAGAAGAGAAGGGAGAGCTAAGGACCAATGGTTATTAGGGAAATGTAATCTTTTTATCATGGCTTGCTGAATAAAACCTCTGCCATCCACATCGTGGGCCAGGTAGTGTTTGGCAGCTGAGTGGGGATGAGTTGGATCTGAAGAGGGTGAACTTTCAGAGTAGGAGAATCTACATGGTGGGAGTCGTGTGAATCGGCACAGAACCTCCTTCTTCAGAAGGGGGCTGCCATGGCTCAGGGAAGCCTCTGGTGTTTTAGGTGTATCCCTGTGATCAGGGTTGGATTTTTTTTCTGGGGGTTCAGGGAGACTGAACCCTCTTCTGTGAGTTCAGCACCAGCCACATAAGGAAGCCAAGCTGAGCAGTGTCCTGGTGTGATGGTATTCCTGCTGCTGGGCTGACTAACATCCATGCGGAGCGGGTGATTTGTCTCTCCTTCTTGTTAGGTGTGTGCTGATAACAGCCAAGCCCTGGAAGGTGGTCAGAAGATAACCATCTCTGTGGGAGTGAGTGTCAGGGTGTTTATTTCCTGGGCTGCTCTCTTCATGACTCCCATTTCTGGCACAATGAGCATCAGTGGTGCTGAATGCTTCAGCAGATTTTTCCTGGCTGCATGCAAGGGAACGACAAGAAACGGGTCAGGCACAGATTTTAGCATCAATGTGACCTGTTTGTCCCTCTGAGAGCACTTTTGTCCTGTGTTACTGCACTGGGGGGGTGGTGGTGGTGATGAACAGCAGCCTGCGGGGCAAACCAGCAGCCTGCCAGTGAGCTCCAGGGTCAGCTTGTCTCTGGTGTCTGGGTCCTGATTTCAGCTTGATGTTGAGTGTGGGTGATGGTCTGGGAGAACACAGGTGCATTCAGCTGATGGACCAAGGAGCCAGGCTTTGCTGGTCTCTGGGCTGATGGCTTGGTGGCTTATGGTAGCATGATGCTGGGTGGAAAACTCTATATGGTTATATTTTTATGGAAATCCCTGTAGCAAGAGGCCTAAGACTCTATGAAAGTTGTGAACTAGTTGTGAAAGTCTGTGTTTTCAGCATCATCCTGTGTTTGCCTCTGCACCCACGTAACCTGTGTTGAGACTCCCTCCTTGTACACAGAAAAGATGAATTTTCTGGGTTGCTCTGTCTTTCCCTTCTCTGCCCTCATTGCTGCACATGGCTCCTAAAACTCTGATAGAATCAGATGCTTCACTTTAACACATACCCTTTTCCCTTGTATCCCAAATGCAGAAGCATTGTAAAGCTGATTATAACCAGAGCTCACCAAGCTTCATTATCCCTCTGAGAGGAGGGTAGAAAGAAGCCCAACTGGATTCATAATGGGTTAAGATGTGACTAACAGCACAAGCCAGCCAGAAACCTCCTCATTCAGCAACTGTTGGAAAACAACTGTTTGTCAAAGCTAAAAACTTCTAGGGGAATCATACAGGCTGGTTTCGTCAGGAATAATTGAGGGTTTTTCTTTTGGATTCGAGATAAAATTTCTGGTCAAAGCAAGAAACCCAAAGAGACCCTCCACCCCAAAGTAGTCAGCCAGTCAGTCCAGCTGCTGGCACAACTGCTTGGGGCAGGGGAACAGCACTTTTAGCAGTGGCCTCTCTGACTTCTTGATGGCCATCAAACACCTCAGACTCTGTGGTTGGAAGATGGGTTCACTGCACACACTGAGCAGCTCCAGTTCCTTGGGGATGCACAGGCTTCTTTCACACCTGTGCTCCCATTCATTTGACACATGGGTGCAGCAAGCCACACTTCCCAAACCTCCTGCTCCTCCCAGCTGGGTTTGGGCAGGATCCAGTTGCTGGAAGCTCTTGCTTTGCCCGTTGCTGATCTGAGTCTCAGCAGCTCCTTCTCAGGAGTCTAGGCTCAGGTTTATCAGGAAAACTGGAGCATGTTGTGCCTTGGTGTTTTCCTCCCTGCTCTCCAGGATGGGCAGATGTTCTCCAGGAGGGGAAAGCTGGCAAGTTTGCACGGTGGATGAAGGGATCTGGACACTGCATCAAGATGTCCCCACTCTTCCTCCATGCCACGGTCGTTTTGAGAGAGCTCCCAGACAGGAAACTGCTTTAGACCAGAGTGCCCCCCCCTGCTGCCGCTCCCACAAGCGAGGGCCCCTCCGTGACGGTTGCGCCGTCTCCGCTTGGCTCCATCTGTTGTACTCTGTTGTGTTTTCTCTCCGTAGTAACATGCCAGTGGCTCTCTGGGGAGCCAGGCCAGCCCATGGCACAGAGCGAGCTCTGGCCTGGGATGCACAAGCAACTCGGGGCATCTCATCCTCTTGGCTCACCCCACGCACAGCTTTCGGTGGCCACCTTTTGGCTCAGCAGCCAGAAGAGCCGAGCTGCTGCCTGCCTCAGCTTTCCTGGGTCTGAGAGCAGGAAATGTGGCTGGAGTCTGTTCTTTTCCCCCTTGCTCTCTGGGAAGGGCTTTGCAGCAGTGCCTCAAGGAGGCTGGAGCTCAGGGGCTGCCTCCAAAGCCTGATGAGTGTAGAAATTGGCCCACAGGCAGCCAGCACTTGCCAGGCCCCTGCCCTGCTCCGGACCCGGGTGCACAATGGTGTATTGTGGGCTAGGGCCAACGCAGAGGAACAGGGAGAAGGCCTCGGGCTGGAGGAACAGGTCCTGATGTGCTGCCAGTGCTGCAGCATCCCCTTACCAGGCAGCGCGTGCCCTGGGAGAGGGGGTCAGTGAAGGATGGTGTGGAGTGGAGTGCCCGAGTCTTCCTGATGTCTGCCCTGTCCCTTCCTCAGCTCGGGGCTGGGGCTGGGCTTGCTGCATGTTCTCCCAAGGCTTATGGGTTGCCTGGCCTGGGGATCTGTGTCTGGTGGTGCAGCTGAGCCTGCGGTGCTGGGACCTCAACTGTCTGCCCTGCTTAGGTGGAAGCTGCACACCACTGGTCCTGGTGGAAACCCTCCACGGAGAGCAAGTCTAGATGTGATCCCTCACCCACCTCCTGGCAAAGCTTCCCCTTCCCCACACACCCTGCGATTCGAGGGAGGGAGGTCTGGGGACCAGCTGTGCTGTCACTGCTGCCATTTTTATCGTGCAGCCTTCTCTTGCTCCTCTTTCTTGTTGTGCTGATTTGCATTGACTCAGACTTCCTTGCTCGCCATGGCCTCGAAGCTGAGGCAGAGTGCAGGGGAGTGTTTGCGAGTCAAACACCACAATCAGGCTCACGGGGCACTGCTCGAGCTGGCCAAGACCTGAGCATTTTTTGCCAAGCTCTGCCTGTGCAGGCTGGTAAAATCCCTGCCCCGAAGTCAAAAGGGATGAGACAGGCAGGAAGCCGGTTTGCAGTGTCCCTCTTATGCCATGTTTTGGTGTGGTTTCTGTTTGCGTGCTCTCTCTTTGTGGGGGATTGCAACAAGCTGAGGTTGGGCTGCTCCTGTGATGGGTCAATGCTGCTTCCAGCACCCCCAAACAGTTTGCCATGTTCCCTTTACTGGGAGCAGCCCCCTGTGTCCAAGGTACCACATAGCAGCAAGGCTGTTTTCGTCCAGCATCATATTGCAGCGAGGTGTTTTTGCTCCCCCATCTCCTTCCTCCAACCCCAGAGAGGCTTTATAGTGGGAAAATGAGGGTTATGCATGAAGCTGCTCGTGGAGACCCCAGGAACAGTCCTGATTTGGTGGTACAGCCTGCTTCACCCTGCTTTTCCCAGAGGCTCTGGGCCCTGTGAAGATGGTGTGAGGAGGATGCACAGGTTTTGAAGGAAACAGGCTTTCTGCCGCCTGGTCCTTCCCCTCCCTTTGAGCCGTTGGCCACCTTCAGCCCTGCTCAGCAGAGGAAGAGGGATCTTGATCTCCAGGAAAGGCTGTTCCTGCAGTACCTGTGCCATGAGCCAGCATCGCTACAGACTCAGGGCTGCCACCAGCACACAGCCCGACAGTGCAAGAATCCAGGTGGGATGCTGTCTCGCACGACTGAAATCCTTTCAGATCCCAGCTTGTTTCTCCTTTGTTGATCAAGGCTTTTTCCCCACCTCCAGTCCCCATGCTGGTGCAGTCCTGTGTGTCCAGCTGTGCTCAGCTTATGGGTTTGGCTTGGCACATTCTTGCCCAGAAGGGCTGCAGGGGGTGTTTGTGGTGACCTTTAAGCATCACAACTCAGCTCTGGCTGTCCCACGCCATCAGCTCCTCTTGCAGTCCGGGTACTTGGTTTGTGGCTCTGCATCACCCACCATCCCGCAGCAGGGACCTGGAGACAGGGGACTTGGAGATGCTTAGTGTAGCCCAGTCCAGCCTTAGAGCTGTGTGGGAGTGGGGATGCAACAAACCCTGTGGCATGAGTGTCCCTGATTTCATGTGCCAGGTGGCTCAGAGTCCTGTCAACAAGATGGACACATACAGATGCATTTATGTACTTGACTGAACCAGGATGTTTTTCTGTACTGGGACTGGTTTCCCACAGCACTGGCGCTCTCTGCAGTTGGTTGTAAAATCCTTTGGGCTCTGTGTGTGTTTGTCTGTACACTGGCAGCACCCTGCAGCTCCCGTCCTGGCTGGGGTTTTGTGGTGCTACTGTGACACAGCAAGTAACAAGGGAAAGTCTGTCCAGGGCAGATCTGAGATTTTTTCAAATACTGCATCATCTTCTGCTTTAAAATGTGTTTTTGTGGGTGATACTTTTATACTGATCATACACATATAAATATAATGTATAAAAGTGTTTTTAAAAAAACAACAAACTTTTGCTCTGTCATCACTTTGAGAAGGATTTAATTTTGAACTTAGCAAAGCTTCAGGCAGAGTCTATGGAAAGTTTTGGCCTGGGAGGAGAGCAGAGTGGAAGATCTGGAGCCAAGCCACTGTTACAAGAGTGTTTACAACCTTCAGTGCTGCCAGCACCTCTAAGAGAGCTGCCACCAAACGTGTCACTTCTGATGCGAGGGTGAGGGCACCCAGCTTTGCCTGTGCCCCAACCTGGTCAGGCTTTTTCTGGAGTGAGACAGGTCTGTGCTGCTGGGGAAGAGCTGGGCTTGCAGCTGCTGTCTTAGCTTTTTTTGGGTGCCTGGATCCACACAGGGAAATGCTCCAGTTCTTCCTTTTTTTTCCCGCAAAGATTTGCAGCTGTAAAATGGGGCTATAGGTTCTCATCTGCACTGGTCTTGGTAATGGGGAAGAGGTGAGCACCCCTTCAGTTCCTTCCCCACCCCATTACCTCTGCCCGTCCTAGTGGTTCACTCCAAACCCTCTGTCCTGAGATGGAGTGGGGGATCTGTGATCTGTAGGGAGACTAAAAGAGCTTGGCTTTTTTGTGAACTAGAGGCTGAGAGGGGTGGGACTGATGCCTGTAATACTCAGGGGGGATGGCAGGGAGGGTAATTATTTATGTCCATCCAAGAATAATGTTGGCACAAGAACAAGTGGGTAGAAACCAGCAGGAATAAACTCGGGCTGGAAATGCGAAGGTTTCCATCCAGTGTAGGAAGACTGAGTCTCTGCCTAAAAGGAGCTGGAACAAAAACTTGAGCTGCTTCTCTTGAAATACAAAATTCAAATGGGCTCGTTTCTAGTGTCTCTCAAATACAGGGCTATTATTTCAGCTGTTGTCAGCTGAAATGAAATAAAATAAAGCATATTGAGCTCAGCTATAAAGCATATAGTAAATGCAGGTGAATAACCATTGGAGGGAATGGAAGGGTTTCCATTGTTTTAATGGAGTTTGTCTCTTTGTTTGGAAACTTGCATTTCTGAAACTCCCTTTTAAATACAGAAACCCTCTAGAAATGAAATGTTTGCTTTTGCATTGAAGTCAGAAGCTCAGGTTCTGCAGATGAAGCCAGAGGGGTGTTATTAGCTCTCCTCTGATTTACATGTGTGCTGAAACTTCTTTTTTTCTTGTAACTGAACCACTGTGAGAAAGGTTAGGGTGTTGCAACAGGAAGCCTTTGTGCGTGTGCATGTAAATATATGTGCACAAACTGCCTCTGTTGCCTGTGTGCGCTTTCCTGTGTGTTTGTGGGATTTCTCTCTCCCAGTATCTTCCCCCAAAATGTGTCTATCCAAATGCTGCAGCACCAGGCCAAGGAGTCTTGTCATGTTTTATATGCCATGACAAAAACTCTGTGCTATAGAGAGCAAGGAATTGGCTGTTACCTGGGTTGACTTAGTCCTGTTTTCCCCTCTCCTCTTTTTGCTCTCTCTCCCCCTCCATTAACACATCTCGCCCCTCCCGCTAGCTGCTTTCCTACCCTAAATGTGTTGTGTTGGCATATCAGCGATTCAGGGCTGGGTAGAAAACTTGCCCCTGGTCCAGAAGCTTGGAAAGGACAAGCAGACCTGCCTCTGCTCACACCTTGGGAGGAAGCACAAGGACATCCAAGTGTCATCAAAAGCGAAGTCTCCCACCCAGCACCACAGCTGTTCCCGCAGGCATGAGGGCTGTCAGCAGTCACAAAGCTGCCCGTTGCTCATCCCCTGCTGAGGGCTCCCCAGTGAACGGCTCCATCTGACAGCAGGCTGGGAGCCCGGGGCTCCCCAGGGTTGTCCCAAGCCTCACCTTTCTCTCACATCCCCCAGGTTGCCATGACAAGGCGGTGCTGCTCTACGAGTATGTGGGGAAGCGGATCGTGGACTTGCAGCACACGGAAGTACCAGATGCCTATCGAGGGAGAGGAATAGCCAAGCACCTCGCGAAGGTACGGCTTCCCTGGGCAGAAGCTGTTGCTGTCCCAGCGGCGGCTGGAGACCCTGGCTGAAACAAGGCTGTGTTGCACTGGTGTTGCATGTTTTCCCCACGGGAACCGTCCCTGCTCCAATGGGAGATAGGGGCAGCTGGCGAGGCAGATGGAAATCCGTGGTCAGATATTCCTATTTCTGGCAGTGAGAGGGGCTGGGTGTGTGCTAGCATGTCCAGCCGCTCACCCAGGCTTGGACCTTTCCTCCTCGCAGCAAACAGCCCTTGTGTCACCTTGCAGGGGCTGATGCTCTGCCTCTCCTGGGGGCTGGACCCCCTCATCTCAAAGCTTCAAGGTTCTCATGAGCCCTTTTCCTGCCTTGGGCCCTGCTTTTGAGGCCCACAGCCAGACAGGGTTGCTGAGGAGCTGTGAGCATAGCGGTGGTGGGGACTGCAGGGTGACGCTTTGGGGTTACAGCTGCGTCTTGGCCCTGTAAGCCAGGGCAAATGGGTGACAAAAGTGGCCTTCACATGATGTGGCTGGGTCACCTGTGGTGCAGCATCCCCCAGGCTGGATGTGTTGAGGGTTACCCGGAGCAGCGGGGGGATCCCTGCACACTGCTGGTTAAACTGGGGATGCTGTGGAGGCTGCAGCAGGATGGCTGTGCTCTCCCCCCAGCCCCCTCCCTCCTCTGCCTCTCACAGGGCAACCTGCTGCGGCCCCCAGCTGCATGTGGGGTATGGGAGTCGGGATGCCTGTGAGGCTTCAGAGAGGATTTTAGACTGGGGGTGCTGGTTGTAACCCATCTGTCCTCTCTGGCTGGTTGCAGGCAGCCCTGGACTTCGTGGTGGAGGAGGACCTGAAAGCTCACCTGACGTGCTGGTACATTCAGAAGTACGTCAAGGAGAACCCGCTGCCGCAGTACCTGGAACACTTGCAGCCTTAAGGCAGGACTGCTCTGACACCAGCGCGCCTGTCCCTGTCTGTTCATCGCGGCCTTCGCTTCTCTGCGGTCTCAGGAAACCCCCCTCCTACACTCACAATTCCCACTTTTTTTAAAGCGCATCCATGTGGTGTGTGAGTGTGGGCACAACCTCCTCCTCTCTGCCCATGTGTGAGCGTGGCTATGGCCCTTGAGCTGGGCTGGCTCCGGGCACGTGGGGTGCCCCCCACCAGTGCTCTTCCCAAGCCAGGGGTTGGAAGAGGATGATTTTTCCACCAAACTCCATCACAAGACCAGGGGATGACTCATTCTGCACTGCATCCTCTCCCCTCTGCTTGGCGACGGCTGTGAACTTGCTGGGGGATGTTGGTTAGGGGTGGTCGTGGGGTACCAGCCCCCCTTTCCTCTCAGCAGCTGGGGGACATGCTGCAGATTAAGTCTTGTGGGACTGAGGGAAATGCTGGAGGAGCCCCAGCTCTGTGGCAGGTTCATCTCCTGCAGCATCTGTTGGGCACTGAGCTGTGTCCAAGCCCATGCAGGGCTCAGATGAGAACGTGTGGGCCATGGTGGCACCTTGGGGGCTTTGCTGCACTGGCTGTGGAGACACTGGGACAGTGACACCTTCGGGCCTAGAGGCAGGAGCCTTGTGAGGAATGGGCTGTGGCCAAGCGTGTGCAGCGTGAGTAGGCAGGAGAAAAAAGGTGGCCAAGTTGCAGAGGCTGCTCCCTGGAGAATCCAGCTCCTGCCCAGCCTCTGTACGTGGCCTCAGCGTGGCATTCCTGTCTCTGCTCCCTACTATTGGTGTTGACTATGCTGGGGTGGACACAGCCTGCCCAGGAGGAGAGCACCAGCCCCCACAGCCAGCCCTGGCCTAAGCAATGAGGCGATGTCCCCTGCTTTTGCAGGCACCAAGGTGGTTTCCTGCAGCTGAAGAGGAAGGCTCCCCACCATCTCCCTTCACTCCAGCTCTGTGCCCCAGATTGTGAGGCCTGAGTTATCGTCGCATCCTGAGAACAGCGGAGGCGAGGCCTCCAGGACCTGGTCCTGGCCTGTCTCTGGGGCTCAATGCTAGAGCCTTTGCATGGATGCCGATTGCTTCTCCTGACAGCCTTTGGAAAGAAGCCCTGGATCAGAGCATTACCCATCTACTCACTGGCCTCCTCGCAGCTCCCAGCCCAGGGTGCTGGCAGCATTGTGGGGTCCTCAGCCAGCAGCAGGAACACCCTCGTGTCGTGCTGTTACCTCCATGGATGATGACCCTGTAACCCAGCTCAGTGTTGCCACAGCTGGATGTAGAGGTAACACTGTGATGGCAGGGCACTGCCTGATTCCAGTTTGCTGCCTGTCCTGCCTTGCCCAGGCTTTCCCAGTCCTGAGCTTAGACCCCAGAGCATCTTCCTCCGTGCTTTTGGGATTTTGCAGTGTCCCAGACTTGGGCTGTGGTGGGGGAGCCAGTGATGCCAGCACACCAGCTCTGAGCAGCTGCTGGGGGCTGTAGCCAGGCAGAACAAGATAAAGAGTCTTTCACCTGGAGGCCAAATCCAGACCTATCTTATCTCTCAGCAGGGACTAAAGTTTACAATCTGCCACAGACCGAATTAAGCCCTGGTCAAGAGGCAGCTCAGCCCTCTCCCAGAGCCCCGTGCAAAGTCCGTGGAGGCAAAGACAAAACTTCCTACAACCTTCTCTCCTGGTTGAGTTGGTCAGAGATGGAGACCCCTGTATCTGAGCTCAGCCAGGGAGGCCCTGAGCTGTTCCTCCTGGACACCAGCTTGAGGTGAAGCCCTGCAGCCTGCCTGTCCTTTTGGGCTGCCCACCACTGACATAATGCAGCCTTCTGCCCACAGGCTTGAGTAAAATCACCGCAGGCTGACACACCCCTGCCTGTGTCCTCCATCTTGTGCTGCTCAGGAAAGGCATCGGGCTCAGCCCTGCCGCTGCCTCACATTTCTGCCCTCTTGCTGCTTATTTCAGCCTGGCTGCAACTTTCAGGATGGCTTAGAGGGACTGGGAAAGGGTCACAGGTAACGAACTAAAGAAAAGGGGCTCAAGGAGAAATCTGGGCTGCTAAATGTTCACTCTTCAACTGCAAAACACACTTTGACATCTAGTTACAGGAGCAAGGCTGGCTCTGTTACTGCCAAGTGATGACAGAACCATCCCTCCTCTTGATCCCAAGATGAAGCTGAACTGTCTCCTCTTGCAAGCCAAGACACCATCATATCTTTGTCACAGCAGATGTGGGTGCTTGGAAGAGATGTGTGCCTAGTTGCCTCCTGGGAGCAATAGCGTGAGCCCAGCTCTGCAAGCCTCTGCCCTGGTTCTGTGCTCATTTCCACTGTGTGACAGTTCCCAGAAGTACCTCGTCGTGCATGAGAGCAGCTTGCTGGAGGGTGTGCTCCAGCAGTGTCCAAGCCTGGCTCTGGAGCCCTTTGTGCTGCTCTGGCAGGAACCTCATGCTTCCCGGCACTGGATCACAAGTGGCAATTGCTGCCTTAAATCAGGCACAGCACACAGTTTTGCTGCTGCTTCCCTTCGAGGTGCTACAATCCCTCTGGTATCTGATCTAATGGAGACATGTGCCAGTGTCTGTGCCAACCGTTTCACTGCTGTACCCATCCTCTGCCCCGGCCTTCCCCTTCCCTGTGGTCTTTGATGTCAGCCAATAGCAATACCCACAGGTCACCAGTGATGCCACGGTCCACGGTGCTCCTGTGATCTGGCACTGCCAGGCAGGAGATGGCTTGGGGTCCCTCGGTGTTAGGCAGCCCTTCCTCCTGCCTCTCCACCAGCTGCCCTTTCCCACCTGGTCTCTGCAAGAAGGAGCTTTGAGTCTGGTGCTGCCCCTTGGTGCTGACTAAGCCTGGAGGAGTTGGGGATCCTGGACTCTCTCTGGCAACAGGACTCTGGAAGTGGTTTGGTTGAATACTGAGGTTCCCAAACCCATCTGAACTACAGACCTTGGTGGGTAGGGAAATGCAAATTGCTGTCAAACCTGCTTCCACATCACCGAACTTGAAACACCCCCTCCCTCATCCACTTTCCAGCGTTGTCTTCCTCTGTTCAAGGTTTCCATTCTGTTGAATTTGGTGGTTACGATGTGCCTTTCCTTCTCAGGACCTGTTACAAATGACCTTTCTGCTTTTGTTTATGTCTAACATTTATCTTTATCCCTCCCTCTGTCATACTATAAAACATGAACATAATGCATGGAATACAATACAATAAAAAGTGTGGCATAACTGCCCTGCAGTTGTTCGCTGTGCCGTGCTTGGTGGGAGGCAGGAGGAGATGCCCACACAACCAGGAGACCTCGGCCAGCCCCAGCTCTGTCATTGCTGGGCTGGGTCATTTCAACAGGGAGCCTGTTTCGTGAGTCCTGTCAAACAACTATGCTCTCTGTTCCACGTCCAGGGTATGATTTTTTGCTGTCTTGTTGCTGCATATTCATTTTCTACATAAATCCCCAAAAAACACATCTTCTAACACATCTCTTGGACAGTAACTACCATGTATCTACCAGCATCTTGGAGAAGGTGAGAGAGAAGGCAGAAGCTGGCAGATCTGCACATTGGTGTACTTAGCATCTGCTTTCCTACTGCCTAACCTTCCCTTCCAAAAAATGGAGAAAATGCTACTTTTCTTCCTCATGAGGAAGAGGACCCTGTGCAAGAAGCAGCCCATCCATGTGCTGAGGATAATGGAGGGTCTGTAAGACCCTCACTAGTTCAGGAGTTGATGCCAGGCCTGGTGTTGGCCATGGCTCCTTGTGACTTGCAGACAGGCACTTATGTCTTTTCATCACCTAACGTGGACTCCACCTGCATCACCCTTCTCCCATCACAGAGCACCTCAGAGCCAGACCCCAAGTGAAATCAACAGGGAGCCATGGGCTGAAGCTACTGAATTTTCTTTGAGGTCATTGGGCTGGCTGAGCTTGTGATGAGTACACAGAGCTTGGGGTGAGTGGGATCACAACTGGTTCCTTTCTTTGTCAGCTGTGAGCCATCCCTGCTCACGCTCACCAGTCCTGCCCTGAGATTTCAGGCCAAACAGTCTTCAGGAGTTGTTTTACAAATGCAGCTTCTCATGAGCAGGCACTCAGTGCTTGTTTGTTGGTTTAAGTTGTTTGAAGACATTAAGGCATGAAAATATTTAAATAGCTGGTGGAGTTGTTCCCTGCTGTGCTTGTCCGAAGCAAGGCAGGTGGGCAGGTGACTCAGAGGAACACAAGCTGCTTCCCTCCTGGGGACAGCACTTCTCAGCCCTGTGAGCACAGCCCCAGCCTTCAAGCTCCCAGCACAACATTTATGTCGCTTCCTGAAGCTGGGTGCAAACTCTAGAGGCTGAGGCCAGAATTTCAATAGCTGAAAATGCCAGGGCTGGGGGAGTGGTGGGGAGAAGGGGCACAGCTTATTTACAGTTATGATTTGATCCAACATGACAAGTGACAAATGGCCCCTGGGCTGCAATTCGAGCAGGCAGGAGCGTGGGTTTTGCTGCTCCCGAGACACAACGCGTTAGGTTTGGGTTATAGCACGAAGCCAGGCTGTTGCTGGTAACACGCTCTGTTTACATTCCACATTCCAGACAGTCCGATGCTCTGGCCCGTCCCAGCCATGCTGCCGCTTGGCCACACACTCTGCCAGGCTGGGCATACTTCCCAAACGCCTCTTGTTCGTGCAAATGCACCATTTACCTCCACTGAAACAGCTGACCCTCAAATTATGGCCGAAAAAGCAGGGGTACAGAAGGGCCCTGCAGTCTGGAAGTGCAGCCTTGCGATGCCTGGGAAGGCAGAGGCAGCCATGGGTTTGTCCTCTTTAGTTACATTACATCAGTTGGAAATAACGTTGTCAAAAAGAGCCTTTTTCTAGGAATGGAGCTGCAAAAACAGCCACACTCTTCTGACATGCACTGCTGGGCTGGAGGAAGCCTAGTGGTGCTCTCGGATGGGTGCTGGGAGCCAAGGACAGCTGACAGTGCAGCACATCTCCAAGAGAGGAGAGATGCAGAGCAGGGAGCTGCTGTTTGTTAAGGGAAAACTAATTCCTGAGAAAAAGGCTCCTCTCCTGGGAGGAGCCAGAACTGGGAACTGGAGAGAGCCCTGGAGAGGAACGGATATAGGCCATCCAAGCACCCTGACACAGGTCCCCTTAGGTGACCCTGCTGTGCTGGGGGGTGGCCCCGGGGCTAGAAGCAGAGACCTGGATGGGTCCTGGGACATCCCCACAAACCTGTGACAGCAGCAAATCTGTATTTCGTTTTTTAGTGAAGCGTTTGGCTATAAACTGTTATTCCTCCTCTGAGATGAAGCAGTGGTGGAGCCTCCCATGCCCTGCTCCTCGTTCAGAGCTGATTAAAGGGGCTAAATTTACCCCAAGAGAGCCCAATCTCTCTTCCCCAGGGAGTGAGGTGCTGCCTTAAGGAGGTCCTCCATTCCTCCTCCGCCTGCGAAGAGAAATCATGTATTTTGTTCCGAGCAGGAAAACAAGGCAACGCTCAGGCTCTGGAGGCCTGCTGAATTGACCCTTCTCCTCTCCACAGCCCGGACCAGGGCGCTTCGCCCGCGGCGGAGGCCGCACCCCCCCTCATGGCGGGGCCGCGGGGCAGGCCGGGACTCACCACCACGCTCCTCCCACGGCCGGCCCGCTCCCGGCGGAAAAGACCGGGAGCAGG